CTGGGCACGCCGCCTCTCCTGAAGTGTGAATGCACACGCACCTGCTCCCATCCTAACTCTCGAGGGTTTGGGTGGGTTTTTTTTTCTTTTTTCTTTAATATAGAATGATGCTTATCAGAGGAAAAACATCTGTTCCACTTTCTTTAATCTCTAATTTATCTAATCTCCCTTTGTAAAATAGGTGATTGCTAATGACTGAATTCCTGCCAAGGGAACAAAAATGCTTGTTTCAATTACTTATTCTTCTCATTGACTTTACCCTCTGAGGTGCAATCTCACACAACATAAATATAATGAATGGGCCTCTTTTCCCTGACATCTTCATCGCTGGCCACTAATAAAGAGACTTCTAGAATAGAGAGATGTCATTTCCCATGATTCCACAGGACGCACCAGAAACCACATTTGCAGGAATAGATCTCACCCAGCCCAAGGCACGGGTCTGGAGAGCCCTCGGCCGTGGTGACCATGACGGGACGTGGCCGGCAGAGGGCGCCTCCGAGCAGCGCTGCCCGCCCCGTCCGGCCGCGACTCCAGCTGCCCAGGCCACGCCCACCCCGTCCCATTCTGCGGGTGCAGACACCAAGGTAGTTCTTTTCTTACTTTGTTGCTGTTTTTAAATTTTTTAAGTTATAATCGACCATGGTTTGCTTCTGTATGTGCCAAAATAAAGATTTTTTTAATGCAACTGTTGGGTCAAAAAAAGGCGAAGGAAATTGGAGAATTGGAGCAGAAGGGGTGTGGGAGGGGAGCTGGAGCCCAGGGAGGGGGGAAGGAACCCCACATTTTACCCACGGGACCAGAGAGCCAGGAATGGGGAGCCAGACCAGACCCAGGCCTCCACAGCCTACTTGCTATAGAGTCTGTCCAAGCCAGAAAACCCCACTGCATCGGACACCAGTGAACCCCAGTTCCTCCCAGCGCCCCTCCTCCCTCTCACCCTAAAACAAGCAAACAAAGACAATGGACATGTCACATGACAACCGGAGTGTGTGCCGGACCTCTACTGTTCACATTTTCACTTTCTGTTTTCCTGCAGCATTCAAGGCACATATGACACTTCCCATTTTAACCTTTTTTGGGGGGGGGGGGCGGACACTCAGTTTGGGAGGATACCTTAGTCGCATTAAGAACATTCACAACTGCATCTCATATGCAATTATCACCACCCTTCATCTCCAGAACTTTCTCTGCACTGGGCAAACTCCCCAGCTCCTGGTCCTGTCTAGCCCATCCCTGTTCCTATTCATGGCCTCGGACAAGAGGAAGCACACAGCACCTGTCTGGCTGTGTTTGGCACCTTGGTTTGGCATACCATTCGCAAAGTGTAACCACGGTGTGGTAATGCCAGCACTCTGTGGATCTTCGATGGCTGGATACTATCTTAGCACACGCTATCTCATAGGTGATTCCCCGAAGGTCACTCAAGCGAAATGGAGGCCCCTGGACCTCAGCCTCCAGCTGAAATAGCTGAGCCCCGGGTTTGCACCGACAATGTAAAGGCAGACTGCGGGCCCACGCTCCCATCTTCCCACTCAGGCCCGGCCTCCCTGTCCTGCCAGGTTCTAGGCCTTTCCATGTGCAGGCAGCCAGGGCTCTTGAGCACTCTGGTGCTCAGAGGTGCACACCCACGGACACGCAGCCCGGGTGAGGCTTCCCAGTGTGACAGTTCTCAGAACAAAGTCCCCTGTTCCCAGGGAGAGCCTCCGGAAGCACGGGGAATTCCTTCCACGGGCGACATGCCTGGAACATCTCCCCGCGTCTCACAAACCAAAGCCACTGGGCTCCTGATGACGACACTCATTCCTTCCACGCTCGGTTCACATTCTGACACTCCATCCCCTGCACACGCACAGCAAGCTATGGCTGGGAGGCCCGGAGCGGCTCGGGTTCACCCAGCTGCGCCAAGCCCCACGCAGCTCCCATGCCATGTCCTCAGCTCCCATGCGATGCCCTCAGGGCCCAAGCTCGCTGTGGCTCAGCTCCGTGCTCTCAGGGAAAAACCCACTCCACCTCCGGCAGGTGGAGAATGCCCGAGGGGGAATTCACTACCCCACCAAAACAAGGCCAGGCCCACTAACTCTCACAAGCCCTACCTGGACATTTCCTTTGTCCCCACACAGGGGCTTTGGGACACATCCAAATGAAGAGACCTGCCCCCTGCCGCGCACACCTGAGAAGAGCTTCTTCCACTACACTGGGGCAACATGAATTTTACTTTGTCAGTCATGGGGCTTGAACTCTAGGCCTGGGTGCTGTTCCTGAGCTCTTCCACTCAACGTGAGTGCTCTACCACTTTGAGCCACAGAGCCATTTCTGGTTTTCTGGTGGTTAATTGGAGATAAGAGTCTCCCAGGGACTTTTCCGCCCAGGTTGGCTTTGAACCATGATCCTCAGATCTCAGCCTTCTAGTAGATTACTGGTAAGAGCCACCAGCTCTGGCTTTTTACATCATTTTGATTAGCATACACTGGCTGTACAAAGGAGTTTCGCTGTGACTTTTCCATGCAAGCGTATGATGTACCCTTGCCAAACTCACCCTCTGCCTCCCTCCTGTAACATGAATTTTTGACCAATTAAAAAAAAGCTTCTGCTGTGTTCTGGTACTGGGTGAGGGTGTGGTGGGAGCACCCACCTCGAGTCTCACAAACACACTCTGCCTCCCCAAGCATTGCCAAGATTCATCCAAGGAGGCAGACACAGCTGGCTCTCCATGAGACTCGTGCTCTTGTTCCAGTAACTTCCAACCCATGTGACCTGGGGCAGGAGGGTACTGTTAAGATTCCAGCCACACATAATATGTTTGTCAGTCTCAGGGGTGTTCTCTGAAACCGTATTTCCTCAAGGAATCCTGAGAGATACAGAACAGGAGACCTGGAGCCCTCCTGCTTTGCATTCTTAGCACTGCAGGTCCTGGAAGGCTGTTAGTTGACAGCAGCTGAAGGAATGCTCAGAGGAGGCTGGCTGCATCAGAAAGGGGGAGAATCCCTCTTGGTAGACCAAAGCCCTTTGCTCGTTCGGCTCTTCACCACCTTTGACCATATCTGCCAAGTTTCTGATAGGAAAGCTCTGGAGGTGTTTGCGCCAGGCCTGGGGCTGGGAGGCCCAGGCTATGGGTGGAAAGAGACAGAGGTGGCGGGCGGCTTTTGCACACCTGTGCACACCGGGGCCCTCGGCTCCCACCCCGGTGTGTTACTGAGGAAAAAGCAAGAGGCGGATTCTCCAGTTCAGAGAGAAGCAGGGACATTTCTCCCAATAAACGAGAAACAGAAAAGAAAAAAGTACTTTTCCTCCTAAAGAGCTTGAGGCCGAAATAGGAGAAATGTTCTACCTATGTACAGGTTCTAATATTCTGACCTCCCCAGAATTAGGATATGAACACACACATACACAAAAGTTATTCTCGGGGTGGCTTCAGGGTTCTATTCCAAAGGAAATTGGGGGAAATGTTCTCAGAGAGACTGTAGTAACAATGTATCCACTATGCTTGGTCAACTTGAATGGTTGGAAGCTATCTCAAACTGGACATGTTCTTTTTTTTGGGGGGGGGGGTCCAGTCGTGGGGCCTGAACTCTGGGCTTGGGTGCTGTCCCTCAGCTCTTCAGCTCAAGACTAGCGCTCTACCACTTGAGCCACAGCGCCACTTCTGGCTTTTTTCTTATGTGGTGCTGAGGAATGGAACCCAGGGCCTCAGGCATGCACGGCAAGCGCTCTACCACTGAGCCACCTTCCCAGCCCCTCAAACTGGACATGTTCTAATCCCGCACTGGAGACTAGCACATCCCATCCCATGTGCCTCCCAAATGAATCTCCCATCTCTAGACACTGGTGGCTCACACCTCTAATCCCAGCTATTCAAGAGGCTGAAATATAAGGGTTATGTTCAAAGCCAGCATGGGCAGGATTATCTCTAAATTAATGAGCAAAAAAAAAAAAAACTTAGACCTGGAGCTGTGGCTCCAGCCGTAGAATACCAGCCTGATGCAAATGAAAAAAAAAAGTGAGAGCTCACTCAGGCCCTGAGTTCAAGTGCAGTCTTCGTGAAACACTGTCATGAGAAAAGGAAGAAAACTTATTTTGGGGGGAGGGGGGACAATAACAACCAACTTTTGTAGAAGGAATTTATTCGCCTGGTATTTGCTGCAAAATTATACCCAATTTTTTTCTGAATTTTTGAAACCCAGCGGGGTGTCTTAGCAAAATCAGCCAACACTTAAGCAACATCAGAGGGAAGGACTGAGCGTGACGACCTCTTGTTGGCACAGACAGAGGCCTGCAGCTCCTCCTGCAAGGCCGGCCTTCGCTGCCACCTGCTTCTCCCCTGGAGCAGGCCCTGAGCTCACGGACTGGGGTGTTATGTGTCCCAGCTCTGCTCTGCCCTGCCTCTAGACTCTCTTCCTGGCATCCAGAGCTCCTCCCGCCGATATTCTCTGCAGGCTGCTGCTGGGAGCATGCCAGGGGGACCATGCTGGGGACAGGGTGGGGGTCCCCCACTTCTGTATCAGGGAGCTGCACAGCAAGGTAAAGCCACGGGGCATGCTCCTCACCCTGTAAAAACCTTGCCACGGTACCCAGAGGCGCTGCGCCTCTCAGATCTCCACGCCAGCCCGGTGAAAGCCACAGAGGCCTGGGCAATCTAAGAGAAGCCAGACCGTCCAGCAGGTCCTCACTCTGTGCGGACGGCTTGGTGATACCCATTGGTCCCCTGCTGTCATTCCTTGCCCTGGTCAGCCTTTGCCACCACTGTGCACACAATTTTGTTTTGGTTCTAAAACCTTACAGTGCAGATTTTCCTGAGTCTGAAAGCCAGTGTGACTGGCACATTCTATCCCCTCCCCAGCTTCTCCTCAGCCCTCCCCCTCCCCACCATGCCCCCACCCCACCATGCCCCACAACAGCCCCCACCCCGCCATGCCCCCACCCCGCCATGCCCCCCAACAGCCCCCTCCCTGCCATGCCCCCACCCCGCCATGCCCACCCCGCCATGCCCCCACCCCGCCATGCCCCCACCCCGCCATGCCCCCACCCCGCCATGCCCACCCCGCCATGCCCCCGCCCCACCATGCCCCCCAACAGCCCCCACCCCGCCATGCCCCCGCCCCGCCATGCCCCCCAACAACCCCCACCCCGCCATGCCCACCCCGCCATGCCCCCACCCCGCCATGCCCACCCTGCCATGCCCCCACCCCGCCATGCCCCCACCCCGCCATGCCCACCCCGCCATGCCCAACTGCCATGCCCCCACCCAGCCATGCCCCCCACCCAGCCATGCCCACCCCGCCATGCCCACCCCGCCATGCCCACCCCGCCATGCCCACCCCGCCATGCCCCCCCGCCATGCTCACCACGCCATGCCCACCCCGCCATGCCCACCCCGCCATGCCCACCCCGCCATGCCCCCACCCCGCCATGCCCCCACCCCGCCATGCCCCCACCCCGCCATGCCCCCACCCCGCCATGCCCACCCCGCCATGCCTCCAACCCGCCATGCCCCCACCCCGCCATGCCCACCCCGCCATGCCCCCACCCCGCCATGCCCACCCCGCCATGCCCACCCCGCCATGCCCACCCCGCCATGCCCACCACCCCGCCATGCCCACCCCGCCATGCCCCCGCCATGCCCACCCCGCCATGCCCCCGCCATGCCCACCCTGCCATGCCCCCACCCCGCCATGCCCCCACCCCGCCATGCCCCCACCCCGCCATGGCCACCCCGCCATGCCCCCACCCCGCCATGCCCACCCCGCCATGCCCCCCCCGCCATGCTCACCCCGCCATGCCCACCCCGCCATGCCTCCACCCCGCCATGCCCACCCCGCCATGCCCACCCCGCCATGCCCCCACCCCGCCATGCCCACCCCGCCATGCCCACCCCGCCATGCCCACCCCGCCATGCCCCCACCCCGCCATGCCCACCACCCCGCCATGCCCACCCCGCCATGCCCACCACCCCGCCATGCCCCCACCCCCGCCATGCCCCCACCCCGCCATGCCCACCCCGCCATGCCCCCACCCCGCCATGCCCCCACCCTGCCATGCCCCCACCCCGCCATGCCCCCACCCCGCCATGCCCACCCCGCCATGCCTCCAACCCGCCATGCCCCCACCCCGCCATGCCCACCCCGCCATGCCCCCACCCCACCATGCCCACCCCGCCATGCCCACCCCGCCATGCCCCCACCCCGCCATGCCCACCCCGCCATGCCCACCCCGCCATGCCCACCACCCCGCCATGCCCACCCCGCCATGCCCCCGCCATGCCCACCCCGCCATGCCCCCGCCATGCCCACCCTGCCATGCCCCCACCCCGCCATGCCCACCCCGCCATGCCCCCACCCCGCCATGCCCCCACCCCGCCATGCCCACCCGCCATGCCCACCCCGCCATGCCCCCACCCCGCCATGCCCACCCCCCGCCATGCCCCCACCCCGCCATGCCCACCCCGCCATGCCCACCCCGCCATGCCCCCCGCCGTGCCCACCCCGCCATGCCCCCACCCCGCCATGCTCACCCTGCCATGCCCACCCCGCCATGCCCCCGCCATGCCCACCCCACCATGCCCACCCCGCCATGCCCCCACCCCACCATGCTCACCCCGCCATGCCCACCCCGCCATGCCCCCGCCGTGCCCACCCCGCCATGCCCCCGCCGTGCCCACCCCGCCATGCCCCTGCCGTGCCCACCCCGCCATGCCCCCGCCGTGCCCACCCCGCCATGCCCCCACCCCGCCATGCCCACCCCGCCATGCCCACCCCGCCATGCCCACCCCGCCATGCCCACCCCCCGCCATGCCCCCGCCATGCCCCCGCCGTGCCCACCCCGCCATGCCCCCGCCATGCCCACCCCGCCATGCCCACCCCGCCATGCCCCCACCCACCACGCCCCCACCCCACCATGCCCCCCACCATGCCCCCACCCCACCATGCCCCCCCGCCATGCCCTGCTGTGCATCTGTGGTGCCCAGTGGGGTGACCAGACCCCCAGTGCAGGGCGATGGATGGATCTCACTCTGATCCAAACCCAGCTCTGGCCTGAAAACGTACGTTTCTCACTTCATCTCAATTCTTCACACTTGTGTTAGGATGTGATTTAACATGAAATGTGAAATATTTGCATTGTGAAACACGGGTCTGGGCCGCACGGCGATCCCACCGTGCTAATCCCCTCAGAGAGCCGCGACTTTAAACAAGCTGGAAAAAAAAAAAAACACCCGCAAGCTGGCAATCCCTGGCTCCCTGGAGCGCTGCACCCCCCCCCCCCCCCCCCCGCGTGAAACCCAGGAAGGAAGGAGAAAGTGGGGAGAGCAGCTGGAAGCAGTCATGGCCAAACATCCCCCCACAAAGAGCCCCCAGCACCCCGCCCTCAGGGCCCACACCGCAGCACTGAGGGGCAAAGGCCTAGGGCCGCGTCCCACTGTCCTCCTGGGCAGGCGCGGGCCCCGGAGCGCTCTCACCATCGTTCCTCAGCCGGCCTAAGAGGAGAGCGTTGGGAGACAGGTTTCATTGGCTCACACTTGTAATCCTGGCTACTCAGAAGCCTGAGACCTAGAGGATTATGGTTCGAAGCCAGCCCAGGCCAAAACCCACAAAACTCCACCTCCAAGATAACCACTAAAAAAAAAAGGAAAAGGAAAACTACCAGGGAAGAGGCGCGCGTGCACACACACACACACAAACACACACAGAGAGTAGAACGCCATGTGCTCTTTTCCATCTTCCTCTTGTTTCTCTGAGAGGCAGCTGTAGTGAAGAATATGAACTGGGAGATCATAGCTGCTTGGGAGGCTAAGAATGAGAGGATCATGGTTGGAGGCCAACCTGGACAAAAGAGTCCACAAGACCTCCGCCTCCACTCATAGCTAGGCACAGTGGGCAGGGAGCGGGGGAGGGGGGGAATCTCAATCTTCATGAGAGGCTAAGATTGAGATGACAGCAGTTCTAGCCCATCTCCAGCAGAAAGGTCCATAGGACTCTATCTCAGAGGAGGAAACTAGATGTGGCAGTACACGACTGTAATCCCAACAAAGACAAAAGACTGCAAGGGAGCTAGGGACCCAGACATATGCCTTATCTCAAAAATAACCAGTGAGCTGGGTGTCAGTGGCTCACACCTGTAATCCTAGCTACTCAGGAGGCTGAGATCTGAGGACTGCAGTTCGAAGCTAACCTAAGCAGGAAAGGATGTGGGACTCTTACCTCCAATTCATCGCAGAAAAGGCCGGGAGTGGTACTATGGCTCAAGTCGTAGAATGCTGGCCTTGAGCAAATGGAACTCAGGGACAGAGCCCAGGACTGGCAAAAATTAAAATAAAAATAACCAAGTAGAGCTGCAGTCATGGCTCTCACTCACGTGAGAAGCCGGGAGTTCAAACTGCAGTGCTACCAAGGAAATAAGGCACAGGCTCAAGTGGTAGAGTGCTCGCGTTGAGCTGAAGAGCTGAGAGACAGCGCCCAGGCCCAGAGTTCAAGGCCCACAACCCCCCAAAAATAAATAAATTTTAAAAAGCGTAGAGGTTTGTAAGGCAGGGTGCATCTCAATGGCAGAGTGCAGGTCTTGTATGTGTCAGGCTCTGGCTACCATCCCCAGCACTCAGAGAGAGTAAGAAAAGGATCATCAGATGCCCACACTAGGCTTCTAAACACCCTGAGCCTTCCATTTACCGTGGTACCTCGAGCAAACCAGTTTAAACTCGCAGCAGATTTGGTTTCCTCCTCTGTCATGTGGGATAGCAGGAGCCCTCAGCCGGCTGGGTTTGATAAGGACGAAATGGGTAATTTGCAGACAGTCCCAGGAGAGCACGGCAGATAGCAGGGATGGATCAATGGCAGCTACTTTCTAAGAACTGTGTGTCCTTACTTCTGCAGAAGTCTCCTCAAAAGACAACACCGGGCATGAGTTCCATCGTGGTTATTGTAAAGATAGGCCAGTCCACTCACGTGACACTCATTGTACAAGGCACCAAGCCAGATTCACTGTACGAGGTACCAAGCCAGATAGGAGCAGATGGATGTGAACAGCGACCCTCGGCTTGATGGCTCTCCACACGCCAGCCCCCCCCCCCCCCCCCGCGGCCTGCTCCTGGGGCTCTGGGAGACCCCATCATGGAGGGAGCGGCCAGCCTCACTCATTCTGCCACAGTGTATCCGGAACATAGAGGTACACACAGAGTCCTCCAGTGGGGTACTCCCTTGGTGACCCTCAATTTGGTCTGTACCCCAGCTCAACAGTACTAACCCAAGGCCAATCCAATAAGCACGTTACTGTGGGGAGCCTTCTGCCGGCGCCATGCCAAGGGGGGCATTCCCCCGGCGCCATTCCCACGCTGGAGACGCCCCTCCAGCTCGCCGGGAGGAAGGAAGGGAGAAGAGGAATGATTTCATTCCCGCTCTTTCCTGACCATGTGTTTGAGGTAAAAGCCAGAAAGAACAGAGTCGTGGAAGCAGGACCCGTCATGAAATGAGCACAGCATCGTATCAGTCATGAAATGAGCACAGCATCGTATCAGTCATGAAATGAGCACAGCATCGTATCGTCATGAAATGAACACCGCCTCCCATCAGATCACACTCAGGTAAAGCGGTGTGACCTCTAGGCCCTTCGGTAACCCCTGATAGAAGGAAGGTATGGAATCATGTTTAAGCACACTCCGAATCCACAGTGAGGCTGGAAAAAAGGACGTGAAGAGGACCCCAGAAGTAGAAAAGATGGGAAACAAAGCGCAGGATGACATGAGAGGAGGAAGTCTGGAGAGCGCCATTTAGAAATCCACAATTACCCAAAATCACAGAGCAGAGAGCGGTCCTTGAACCCCTGCCTGCCTGCCCAGCCCCACCACACCCCATCCACACCTGCCCCAGAGCCCGCTCCCTTCCACTCGCCCCCCCCGTACTCCCCCCTACCCCCCACCCTCCACCCCCGCCGGCTGGGGGAGGGGAGCCGCCCACCTGCTTCCTCAACCACACGCAGTGGTCACGTTCATGTCCAGCAAGACTGATGCCCACCGGCATGAGAATGAGCGGACGTCAGTGCCTGAGGCCCCTCGGCTGGCGGTGGAGTGTGGCTGCTCTGAGGACAGCAACAGCACCCGAACACACGCTCCCCAGAGTGCAAGATTACACACCTGAAGAAGAGCAGAACCCAGGTCACACTCAGCAACGTCACACGCGCGCCTTGCTGCCGATTCATCCAAGGTGGCCCGAACTCCAGAGGCCCCGATTTTGGTCTCAGGGACAGAGGTCAGGGAGGACTGGGAGGAGCCCAAGGAACATGGCACCGCCCACTAAACCAAGACAGCTGTAGAAACTCCAGTGGCTTCATGACTTGAAGAACAAGCGACCACCCCCTTTCTTCAACTTGATTTGTACTCCCGACGTCTATCCCACAACCACACACAAGAGGAGGGGCGGGAAATAATTTAGGAAGCAGGAGCACCAGGCAGGAATCCACAGGGCTTGCTGGAATGTTCTGGCCAGAGTAGAAATCGGGCCTCATCTAAAAATTCCCACACTCGGCTTCCCCTTCTAAATACATTCAGGTCTGGACGTGGAGGGAGATGGGCTAGCCAGTCTCTTGTACGTCTGCACCTCTTCATGATAATATGCTTGGCTGTATGGTGTTACGGTGATGTTCCTATTCCCAACTTTCACGTGTCCCTTCATTGCTCTTCATTTCTTTCCTCACATGAACTTTCATGATCGTTAGTGCCTTTGCCACCATGAAAAGTAAGAACCAAGGGAATAGGCACCATCACCCTCCCCCAAGACCTGCCCTCCCCCAAGACCCGCCGTTCCCAGCACTGTCCTAGCCACTGGTGCCATTTGCTATTCAAGCCAACAGGTGCCGGTTGAAACCCACTGTGTACCAGACAGGGCTGGAGGCGGAGACAACAAAGATGGAGAAGGCCCAGCCTGTTCCCTCCAGCAGCCCTCATCACAACCATGAAGCTCTGTGGACCACTTCATTCAGAGAGCACAGGAGGGGACATGGAAACCAACATGGCCACCGCCAACGGCCCTCTTCCTCTGCTCGCATGCAAAAGCATTTCACAGAGCAAGGAGAACTCACACACTGCCGCTGGGAAGACAAAATGATGTGAGCAATTTGCGAAACTGTTTTCCAGTTTCTTTCAAGTTAGAAATACACTTACCACATGACCTTCCAATTCTACTCCCGGGTTTTTTCCTCAATAGTAGATGAACACTTGTGGCCACACAAAACCTATACTTAAATGCTTATAGCAGCTGTGTTCATTGTAGCTAAAACTGTAAACAACTCAGATGCCCAGCAACCACTGATAAGATAAACGGTGGTAATTCAAGACATAGAACACAACTCATGAATAGTAAGAAACAAACTCGTAATGTACGGCACATAGGCCTTTGGAAGAAGCCACGCGCAACAGTACTAAAATGTACACATCATTTTGCATTTGAAATCTTTGGGCCTTCAAAAGATACATGAACATTGCAAAGTTTGTTTCTGAATGTTGACACCAAGACACTTTCTTTTTTCAGAACTAGAATTGGATGAGAACTATGAACAGATATATAGGTGAAGATAATCAGACCATAGGCCAGTCCAGATTCGACTTTATACCTTAGGTATTGGTGTTGTTTCCCTAAAACCTGTGGTAAGGCTGTCTATTAATAAGATCATATTAAGGGGCCAAAGCAGTGCCTACGGAAATACACCCTCCAGTGTTCAGCAGGTGCTATTCCAGAGTGGCTCACAAACCACTTCTGGGTCTTTGCTCCAGAAGTAATTCTAATGACAGCAAAGTATCAAGGCATCAGAAATCCAGGACCAAAGACTTCGATTGCACTCTCAGTAGTTAATGCATTTCTAAAGCAAAATTCAATCCATGCTACTAAAAGAAAGGTTTTTCTCTCAGATCTGTGAACAGACCTGGGCTCTCCAGGTGGCCTGGCTACTCAGCCTTGAGAGAGATGCCGACACAGAGGGCCCCCGGGAGAGAGATGAGTTTAGGTACATCCAACCACTTGAGATGCTGCAT